TCAGCAGACAGTTAGAAAGCTTCTCAAAGCACTGGTTCTCAATGGAGCCAAACTCATCGCTGTTATAATCAGACATGTGAACTAATTACCCTTGGATGTACTTTCCGATGCTACCGGTTACACTAGAAAAATTACCTAATTAGCATTCAGAAAGGCTCATTCCTTTATCCTGAAGAGGAGCTCAGCACATAGCAAGTAGGTGGCCAGGTTCCACAAATCAAACCAGAGTATGCTCAGAGCTGGGGAGAGTTCCGAACCTGCTCTGCTTTTCAGCCTGATTCCATCTCTAATTTTGCCGTTGGGTTTAGGTCAGAGGAGCAGCCAGCAGTTTGATTACTTCCCAAAATATCCAGGATCTCTTTTACTGCTGCTGAGGGCAATCAACCTGACTCCCTGACCTGACGTAAATCAAGAGTAGCACCTGTGGTATCACTTGTGGTATACTGCTAGAAAAATAAGCTGAAGAATCAAGCCCCCTAAGAGTAGATTTGCGCTTGCCTTGCCAATTTACTTTCTTTTTCCAAAACTCATTTAAAAGGAAGTGCTTCAGAGAACAACAAGGACCACAGATGTTTCAGAAACTTCTGCAAGTGTTTGGTTTTTTTTGTTTTTCCCCAAACCCAGCATTAAAGTGCAGAGAGAAGCGATGCGAGCAGAGAGGTACATTGATTTGCTTTGATCCGGTTCGCGAGTTTGACTCATGCTAGCTGAATGCCCAGTTCAAAATCACCAATGTGGACGTGCATTTGGCTTCAGATCCAACCTCTGGTTTTCTTGTTATGAAGGCATAACAAGACCAAATCCAACTTGGATTGGACTCATGGGAGCGTTAGGGTATCAGAAACCATCTCTAGGCTCCCGAATGTTGTGGCGTTTTTTCCTTAGCAGCCGTGTGATGTCCCACAGTACTTACAGCAGGAGCTCGGGCGCGGCTTTACAGTGGGAAGACACAAGCGACCTCAGAGGGAAGAGGTCTGTGCTGAAAATGGCCTGCTCCAGGTTCGTCGGTAGCAATGCCAAAGGGGATGTGGGCAGCACGGTTACACAAGGCTTGAATTATTTTGGGAGTACATTGCTTTTTCCTTTGGGGTGTTTTACAATCAACATGCAAAGTAATCAGATACAGTCATATTCTGAGGACACTCGGATGTTTCCTGTGGTTAAGCAACAACTAGTTTATTCAGACTGGGAGCTCGTTTTTACTGGATTGTGTCAGTGATAGGCTACAGCCATGGACACATTTCTCTTGTTTCTTCATTTTCTGAATAGGGAAAGCAGGGCTATATTTGCTTGCCTTGCAGTAGTGAAGAGCAAGCCCTGTGAAGCTGTAACGCAGTGCGTACGTGAAACTGCAGCCTGCGCAGAGAGCAGCAGCAGCAGACCCGGGGCTGCCCCGGCCTGGGAGCGTGGGCGCACCCCGGGGAGGTCGCTGCCTCCGGGAGGAATGGTGGTGTGACGCAGAAACGGGGTGGGTTGTACCACACGGCCCTGCGGTCCAGCTCCTCTGATTCAAGCCTTCAAAGAACCTGGGAGGGACCGATCCTCCCGGCAACCCAGCTCGCGTCCCAGACAAGCTTAATGCCAGGAATGGGGACAGCGAGGCACAGAGAGCGCGAATTGCTCGCCACCAGATGATTCTGCGCTGGGGCTGTGCCAAAAAGCCAGGCTGCTCTGGTTGCCTGCCTGAAATACAAATATTTTCTGCTCTTGTACTTCTGGCTTTGGGATCAGGGCTGAGATGAGCAAAGCCTGAGAATGGAAAAGCAAATAATCTTTGGGGAATGTCATGTCGTGACAGTATCAGGCAGAGGGAGAAGCCAGATACCGTCAGGCTGGGGTACCGTCAGGGTCAGCTGTGAGCGAGGGGAAGTGGGAAGCCGGCTGGGGAGCTTCAGCTGGGCCCCTCAATCCAGCAGCAAGCTGTCCTCGTCCAGTTGCAGTTGGACGGTGCTCACAGTTAGACTGCAAGTTTGAAACGGGAGCTAGAAAATTGTAGGGTGGACTGATACTCACAATGAAGTCAGGCTCATCATCGGCTGGACTGGGAGTTTCTCAGGCACTCTGATTGGAATTTGATCTGTAGAAAATACTGTTTATATCAACTGAACCATTCACAGAGTAAGGCAAAACTCAGACAGGACCAGGAGTCCCAGTGAAGCAGCTATGTTAGGTCCATCTAATAGTGGGACATTATATACATGTATTTTTTTTCTTCCTCTTCGCTGCTGTGGTACTTGTAGAGCTATGGATCTTCCCTGTGCCAGGTCACGACAACAGAGCTGAAAGCAGAAGCCTGACCTCTCTCCCCCACGTTAGCATGGGATGTTTGTCAAGAGTCTGGACTTGCATTCTGCTTGAGCACTGGAAGGAGGTCATTGCAGCCCCCATATAATTGACAAAATTTATTTACCTTAATTTCGTGGTTAATGCTGTCCTATTATTATTTCACTGGCCAAATGCTTTGCTTCTGTTCTTTTTTCTTCCAAGTTTTTGCCAGCTCTGCCACAGACATGGGCTAGGAGCCCAAAAAGTTGGGTCATGACTCTTTCTTCATTACTGCGTGAAAGAGAAGTGTGCCTGGGGTTTTCTCTTCAAGCAGAACGTTAGAATTAGTGAATTAGCATTACCAAGATAAAACCCAGCTTGACTGGCACCGGCCCACTCCGCACGGAGGCAGGCCTGGGTGGGGGAGGTTCAGAGCCTGGCTCCCTGCAATTGCTTATTGTCTGGAGACTGGATCATTTGAATTTTTCACAAAGCCACATCTGTTCACCTCTTAAAGATTTACTCCAACTTAATATGAATTAAATATATGAAGGTCCTAAGTGCAGCTTGGTGGTGTCCTGAGTGTTCCTGCTGCAGAACGTTGCTGGAATTGAAAGTGTGTGAACACGTTACATGAGAAAGAGGAGATTGCTCACGAGTGGATGGAGATGATCCTTCCTTCTTTGCATAAACATAATTGCTAGGGGATTATTAACGACTGTCTGTAAACTCTACACCTCTCCCTACCTCTACAGATCCTTTCTGGCCATAGGGAATTACCAAAAAAAAAAAGAACTCCTGGACATTTTGAAGGCCAGACTAACGTCGCTGTGGCTTAGCTCGGCCTCTCCCTTCCACAGCCAGGTGCTTACTACACACAGGTGGCCCCACAGAGGAAAGCACGAGAAATTTTTCATTGTGTGTCATGACGGATGTGTCAGACAGTCCATCCTCTGTTCTCCTGTGCTTTGGTGAAGGACCAGTCCTGATGTTCTGGAATTTGTAGGAGTTTTCTTAGCCTCAGCTAGAATTTTGACTTAAGAATTGAAGAAAACTTAAAAAAGCATCTGAAGATTTCGTCCAAGAAATGATGGCAAAACAGCAAATAATATTCTTTTGTATATCATATTGTGATTGTTTCTTAATGTTTATCCTGTTGGGACCACACAGGGAAATGGATCTCATTCACAGCATTCGCCCCTGGTTTAGCTGTCAGCAGTGCAATTCTTAGCAATAATCAATAAAGCCATTCCCCCTGCAGCTGCCCAAGATCGCAGTTTTTCTCATTAGTCAGCAATCAATATCAACCCTTAAGTTAGTAATATATTATGGTGGCATTATGGCAGCTGGCCTTGTCTGTCTTTCCGATTGAAATGAACATTAAGGTTCCTTGGAATGGAAGGGAAGGCAGAGGCGGAAATCAATAGCATTGATTTCAGCATCACTTTTTGAAAAGACTGATCATCATCTTGGCTGGCCTTGGCGGGAGGCTATTTTCACTCTTTGTTCTTTCACTCACAGGCCCGTCCGGGGTGGGGGGCGGGGGGGAAGCTTTGATTTGCTCACCTGAAGTCTGCGGTAAGACTGAATGCCATGGGCTAAATGCTCTGTGGCACTCTTGCAGTCACCTTATGGCTTGGAAGGCGCTCCGGGCTTGTGTCTGTAATCGAAAAATATTTTCTAATGTTCATTTTAAAAATGGAAAAACCCTAAGACACAGGCTATAACAATATTTAGACTTTCTTTTAGGATGCTCTTTAGCTGAGCACATTAAGGCTTGACAGCGTTCAGGACTGTCGTGTGCTGGGTTGGTAGAGGCCAGACTGCACTCGTTGCGCTGACGCAAGCCAGCTGAGGAGCTGCCTGCCTGCTCCCTCGTCCAGACGCAATTTCAGTTTCAAGCAAGCTGCTCTTTTGTGGTGATACAGAAAGACATCGCTGATGGAAAAAGTCCGGTGTCGTAGTAAGGAGTGGCAAATCCTCCCTGCATTGCTTTTGAAAAGGATGATGAGAGCTTGCGATAGATTCCTGTGCATTGCCAGTGCACGTCGGGCTCCGTTTCATGGACTTTTCTTTCGTGTTCAACAGTGACTACAGGTATGTGGCTGCTGCTCTCGCCGTCATGAGGAACGTGACTCTACAGATCAACGAGCGGAAGCGGAGGTTGGAGAACATTGACAAGATAGCTCAGTGGCAGGCCTCCGTTCTGGACTGGGAGGTACAGTAAATGCTGGGCCCTGATTTAGCTGCTGTAAACCTGGAAAAAATAATGCCGTGCAGTTGTTGAATTATCCACAGCCATATAATTCATTTCCCATTGCCTAGTCTTGGGATTAAGCTTGGGACAAGGAAGATATATTTACAGGTTTTGGAGATGGTACTTAAGGTGTAAACCATTAATGGTAGTCTGAAAAACTGGGGTCCAGTTCCAATTTCATCGATAGAAATCTGGAGTCACTTTTGCTGTTGTCCTGGGAGTGAGAGTTGGAGCAAACTCTGTGTGCATGCTGGCTC